TTGATTGATTGATTGATTGATTGATTGATTGATTGAGTGCAGACTTTCTCCAGGATGATCTGTTCCCAACCTGGTCCTCCAATGGTGCACCCACTGCCACCGTAATCAAGCCCAACCACCTTGCTGCTCGCCATCCCCCTTTCTTTCCTTCTTTCTGCCTTTCTCAGCATTAGAGATTTCTCTTGTTCAATACACAATAGTCTTAAAACCGATTTAGCCTTGTGAGTGAACTCGACAAAGTTTGCTTTTTTCTGGCCGAACATGGTATATAAAGCCATCCAAAGGAAGAAATCTTGGTTTAAGAAGCATATCGCATAAAACATCAAACAAACCATATTATGCGTGTGGGTTATATAGGAACAAAGTCATGAATCTTACTTAAAGAAGAGTAATTAAATTTGTTTTGCTTAATTATGTTGTTTCAATACCACTTTTTGGTCTTGAAACAACATGAAAAATCAAACCACTGTGAATGTAATTTTTACAATAACCCATCATCATCATCATCATCATCAATTTATTTATGGTCAAAAGGCCCAAACAACTCTTCTTAGACCACCTACAGGATGATAGAAGAAAGCACTTAAAAAACAAAACAAAGAAAACAGAATGGCTCAGATTTTGTGAAGGTGTTGCCCTGTGCTTTCCACAATAGTATAACCTGCATATGACTAAATGACTAAATATTAAATGCACATTGAAGATAGCCAATCTATGCCTTGGGGCCTGATTCCAAATGTTAAAAAAGGATCTTTGAAAGTAGCAATTTTTTTTTTACCAGCTCTCGTGAAACCTTTTGCAGCCATTTGCAACAGGCCCTTCTTTTTCAGTATAAAGCTGGAACCCGCAAAGATACTGGAGCCGATGGCCAACGCCACACCTACGTATAAGCTGTAGAGGTTTCCTTGGGGGGTGGAAACATTCAGCATTGTTTCATTGGGGTACCTCCCCGAATAGGCAAAGAAAGAAGCTTTTAGCTCTGATACGTTGAGGATCTGGCACCACGCATGCTGAGAGTTGGGGCAAGCCAAAGGAAACACTTCACCTAGAAGAACAGAAAACAGTGATCTGAGCATCTGATCCATGTATGTTAGAAAGTACTCTGCAAGGCTGATTCACAGGGTTAAGAGGGAAGACTCCCTTCCACCAGATCAGCTCACTTACTATGACATTGGGAAGATGTACAGCTGCCCTCCAAAGCTGCAGTGCCTAAGGCAGAAAAGCACACCAAAGGAGCAAAAAACTATCCCATATCACCAGCTGGGCACTTGATGGAAGAAAACAAGATCTTGCTCAATGACCAACATTAATTCAAATATCTTTCTGTAGTTGTGCTACACCTCAACTCCCTTGATGTAAGAGGGGAGGATGGAGGTAAGTAAAATAAAGTTTTTTCCCCCCACTTATAAGTTTGGATAGACAAAAGAAACAGGTCCAAGTTTAAAATTGCCAAGATGTGCCTCCCTGACAGCAATCATGTTTAAGTCACCAAAATATTGAAATAATAAGGACTAATGCTGCAGTATTGCAAATTTCCCTATTTTGGTAATAGGGTGGATAGTTTAGGAAATGCCTGTCTACTTCCTAGCTGCTCACTTGACCTAAACACTGGGGAAGAAATAGAAGTCTCCAGTATTGTTCTTATAAGAACTACCCAATGAGACCACCTTGAATTTGGGGAAGCACAAATTGGCCTGGGAGGAATAATAAGAAGGTAGTATATCAAATGGTTTAGTCTGTATCTGACTTGGAAGCGTCTTCTTGGAAAGTACAGACAACATTGTCCAATTACAATCAGGACCATCTTGAACAATGTGGTTTGATTCTCCACTAACTGGAGACCAGGTTCCCAAGGTCTCAAGCCACTGGTTGGGCTTGGCTGAAAAGTAGTGAAGTCACCTGCTACAGGAAACACCATCGGAACAGGGAGGCAGAAGAGCTGATGAAGGCAGATTTGGATCTGAACAGTAGAGCAAGTTTCTTTAAAAGTGCTGCCCAAGAGGGCAACAGCATTGGGCAGCCAAATAGTATTATGCAGCCGAGAACTTGCCCATCCATGCTGGAAAAATGCTTGTATCCTTACTTAACGACCACAACAGGGAGTGGAAATTTGGTCATTAAGTGGGGGGGTCATTAAGTGAGTCACCAGATAACTGGACCTGATTTTATAACCATTTTTACAATGGTTGTTAACTGAATCACCACAGTCACTAAGCAAATCATGTTGTGAATCCACCTTCTCCAATGGATGTTTTTTGCCAGAATTCATGTAATGACCACATGATTCGCTTAATGACCATTGTAAAAAAGTCACAAATCATGATCACATGACCACAGGGGTGGTACAATGGTTTGTGATGGTCGTGTGAGTACAGGTTGTGAAGCACTTTTTCATAGACCGTTGTAACTTTGAACTATTGTTAAACGAACCATCATTAAGCAAGGGCTACATGTACTCAGTACACATCTAAAAATTCTTATCCATGACTATGGGAAAAGGGAACCAAGTTCTCTGTTCTTCTCTGGTACGATATCTGTGAAGTGGCTCTACTGGATCAACTAGCATATGAACAAAGAGCTACGCTATCTCTAGGGCAGTGCTGTCCAAACTTGGCCGCTTTAAGATGAGTGGACTTCAGCTCCCAGAATTCCCCAGCCAGGGCTGGCTGGG